TATTGATAAATATAACCCATACAAACAAAAGCTCTTTTGGGGTCCTCCATAATTTTTAAAATTGGAAAGGGGTCAGGAGAGAAAAAAGTTTAAGAAACACTGCCCTAGGCAGAAAGAAACCAGTTCTAGCCAAGGCAGGCTGTGATGTTTTAAAAGTATGGCATTCTAAACCAGATTCTCCTGGCTTACACCTCAGCTTTCTACACAGTTTGAACACTCAAGGTGGCCATCAACCTTCAATTAAAGTCTAATTGCCCATCTGAACCAGCTGCAACATATCTATCAGGGTCACTGACAGGGCCAGTTTGACCTGTCATAGTAATCAAGACCATCTTGACATGCCCTTTCCTCCACCCCATCTCTCAGAAATACACCATTGCAACCAAGCAAAAGATGGCAGGCATTAATCCAGGAAGTCAGGCTGTTTGCAGCAAGATGGTGGTGGTGGAGGAGGAAAAGGGAAAGAGTATTTCATCCACCCAAAGAGTCTCCTGCAGGCCTTGAATTTGGAAGGCAGCAGAGGTGACAGGAAGTGAAATCCCCTGGATTTCTGCTTTCCTACAAGGACACAGGAACAGATTCCCAACCTTGCCTGGCAGGATTTGCTTACTCCATGAAATAGGGTTTCAAACCAGCCTAGCTTTTAGAATGTATTGTCAGTTATAGAGCAACAAAAGAAGCTGCTTCTAAACAAACTGCCAGTCAGACTTGCAGAGGACCAAACATCAGTTAAAAGGTTGGGCACCACTGTTTCTCAATTAAATAAGGTGTTTAACTTCTCAGGGAAGATTCACTGCTGTGATGTACAATATGTATCTATGTATATAAGTTATGCATGGCTATTCTGTAGTGGAATGTGGATTCAACAAGAGTCACAGTTATGTTTGCAGTAAAACTTGTCTTATGTGCTGCATAGAAAACAATAGGAGGATTTCTGAAGGTCCTTTCCCAGTGAAACAGGATGATGCAGATCAGTCACTGACTCACCTTCTTCTTTTCACTAGAAGACGGCTCACTGCCAGAGCAGCGTCCTGGCTCTACCCCGCTAGGGCCTTTGGCCCGGCTGGATGATTTGGCAAGGCTGCTTTCTACCAGCTCATCATCAAACTTCTTCCGCTTGATGAACCTAGAATGGTGAACATCCACATTGCCATAATCTCAAGGAAACAGATATCCCTTTCACTACTCTCTTTAGAACTTCAGCAAACAGCAGCAAGTCATGGGTGACTTCAGTGGAAATTCTTTCATTTAAAGGACTTGATCCACACTTCTGCTAAGAAAAGCCTGAGCTGTATGTGAATAGGACACAATTGCCTTTTAAGTCAACCAGCATCGTAACAGCAGTACTTGGAGGGCAGATTTGCACAATATCCTCAGTCACTCAGGCTGGTTAATATGCAATCACATGCAATTATTTTACTGCCACGTTTTTGCAGTAATTAAGAGCAACCATTATTTCCAGTTAGCTCTAATAAGAATTTGAGACTAAGATTAATTGTTGATGTAGAATTCTGGTTAGTGCTGACTGGAAGTAGCAACTGTTTCAAGTTTAGACAATACACTTAATCATGGGAAAGCTATCAATTGTGGTTAAGAATCTGCACAGGATATGGGATAAGATGATCTGAGTGACTTAATGTATTACATGAACATGTCTGTGTAGAAGCAATTTTACAGGGTAAAGATCTTGTCCCTCAAAGCAGTAGTATCTAGGCCATTGGACCTTGGTGGAATGGGTAGAAGCTCATCAGAGGGAGATCCAACCTGGAAATAAGGAGGAATTTCCTGACAGTGAGAACTATTAAGCAGTGGAACAGCTTGTCCCCTGGAGTTGTGGGTGCACCATCGCTGGAGGTTTTCAAGAAAAGATTGGACAACCTTTTGTCTAAGATGGTATGAGGACTCCTGCCTTGGGCAGGGGGTTGGACTAGAAGACCTCCAAGGTCCCTTCCAATCCTATGATCTATGATTCTATGACCACAAACACTGAAATGTACTGAAAAAAATCAAACACTGTTCTCTGAGCAGAAAGAATATTGCACGATTCTTTTCTTTGCTTTTATGTTCAAGAGGGGCACAAATATGGTCACTTTTGGTGTATTTTGTAACTCCCAAGACTCCATCCTTTCTCTCAATTAAGGGAGTATCAAGGGAAACTACCAAATTTGGCGGGGATAACAAACATGAGACCATTTAATTAAATAGCCCTCTTGCCAACCACCTTACTTAATCAGTGCAAACTGGGAGAAGGAAAAAAAGGTTTGTGATTGTTCCAAAAGAAGCAACTTCAATAAGTTTTACTCAGAAGGAACATCCATTTTTGAGCTTCCTCTTTGAAAACAATGGCCACATTACATCTGCATATGGAAAGAATCCAGCCTATTTAGCTATACTTCAGCACTCGTTTCCAACAAGCACCATAATTCTATATTCTATATTCCTTTTTGTAACTCAACTCTCCAAATTAAAGATATGCTTGGAAGCCAGATGTCCTCCTTTCCCTGAACCACCTTCCCAGCCATGTCCATCACGGTACCTGGATGAACTACGTCGTTTTGGAATGGCACCCGATACTTGCGATGAGCTCCTTTTTTGTCCTGCTAGAGACTCTTCGTCTTCAGAGCGGCTAGCTGTACCCGACGCCATCAGTCTGGAATCCCAAGTGTCTGCCACAGAGATAGGAGCACAGATTCAGTGCCTTGGGCTACAATAGTTCTGACTGGATCCCATGTTGCAGCAATGTTTATTATGTGGATGCAGAGGGAAGCAAAGGAAAGCACTTTTGCACAAACTGATTATGGGTCCACCTGTATCTTACAATCCCAGAAGTCTAAATGAAATTCTATACTTAGAATATATAACTTAAGAACAAGTTAAGCACCTGCTTTATTCTAATATATTTTTGCTTGGGAATGTACTATCTTACTGATTTCAGAAGATACTATTTTAAACAATGTGCTCTGCTACTATAATTAGTATTACATAGAAGGCATTTTCCATCATAGTAGTTTTCAAGGAGGAACAGAATTTATAGTCATGGACATAACCATTTTGGTCATTGTTCTGTTTGGTTGTTAGAAGCAACTACAGGGAGTCCTCATTTAGCGACCACAATTGGTTCCAGCGACTTGGTCATTAAACAAAGCAGTCACTAAGTGAAAACCGCATTACCGCGACTGTGCTTACAGTTTTACTTCAGCTTTCCTTTGCTTTACAGAGTCAGAAGGATAAGACCCCAAACAGCCTGGTGAGCCAAACAGCAGGGAAGGTATCCGGAACTCAGCTCATGTGGAAGCCAGGTAAAAGGACAAATCTTATAGGCCTTTTTCCCACTCCCTGCCCTTTGGAATGCTCACCCTGGTGCTGGGATAATTAGCAAGAAGAGAATTGATGTTTGTATTTACATTCATTGGAGAGGAAGGGATTACAAGAGAGTAAGCAGGCACACAATGGGGAATACACATAAAAAGGAATGTGCTAGTACAGGCTGTTTCCCTAGGATGCTCAGCACCTCCTTTTGCTTAGGAGGCAAAAGAAAGCCTTTAGTGTGAAACTGATTAGGGTCTTGTCAGTGTCAGGCAGCAGGTGGAGGGTTCTAATCAACTAATTAAGGTCACAGAGCTGAGCTTGTTAACTTGCAGTGGTACAATGGCTAGTCATACTCCTTCCTCGCAGTTTCAAATGTACTGATCTAGTTTTGGGATGACTCCCACCTTTTGTTATATTGGTGCAGCCTTCTTCAACCTGGAGCCCTCCAGATGTGTCAGACATCAATTTATGTGACCAAAGATTATAAGAATTCATTTGGAGGACATCAGGTTATGAAAAGGAATGAGTGGTATAATGAAGATAGAAAACCCAAATTAAAGAATCTTGTTCCAAATTTAGCAGCCTTCCCTAATCTAATGCCTTCCAGAAGTTTGGCCTTATGGGAGTTGTGACCCAACGTATCTGGACGAAGACGGAAAACCGCCTCACAGGAAATGCAGGATGATGTACAATTAATGAAACCTCACGCAAACAAGGCGAATTAAATCAGCGCAAGCGAACCAGGCTGGTGGAATTTCGCCCCAGTACTACAGAACCCCGAGAAGGGAAGAGAGGAAAGGGGAAGCATAAAGCGCGTGCGCGGTTCTACTCCCCCAGCCTTTTTGCGCATGCGTCCCCATCCGCCTCAGCCGTTTTTCTTAACCAAGAACCGAAGCTGTTCCCTCTGCCTAATCTTAGCCGATCTCCAAGATGTTATAAGGTCTGTAGCGTCAATGCCTCACCATTCCCAATCGTTACGACACCGACGACGACAATTTCCGCCTCTCTCTCCAGCGTCCATCTCGGAGACGCGAGAGAAATCCCAATAACTTCCGGGGAAAGAAGAGAAAAAAAAACAAGTGCAAGATCAGTTCCGGTTCATTTTTGCGTAGCCCGAGAGCCGAGTAGGGGAGTAGCCATCTTGGTTAAGGGCACCATTCCAGTCTTTCGACTTGGGCAGAAAAATGTACAAACGTTATCACCCTCGCAAAGTCCTTTTCCGGGCTTCGCGATTTCAATTTATATCATTCATGTCTTGATGTATCTGCACATTTTCTGGTTGGCGTGAGGTTTCGATCAGCCACAGATATTTAGATTTAAAAAAAACTTCTCAGACTGCACGTGAAATTTGTTGTTTAGTCGTTAAGTCGTGTCCGACTCTTCGTGACCCCATGAACCATATCGCGCCAGGCCTTCCTGTCCTTCACTGCCTCCCTGAGTTGTCATAAATGGGGCAGCGAGGGCAGTGGCTTGAATTGCTTAAAATGGATTAAACAAATTCGTGGGTTTGTTTTTGGCTTGGCAGGGATGTGGAATAGTTAACAGAAGCTCGGTGTTTCTTTGAATATTAGTTGCTGAGGAGAAATAACGGGACAGCTCTGGCCTTGCTTTTGGGACTCCCTGAGAAAGTAGCAGTTGGGAGCCAGACGACATTGCATTGGTTAGTATTGGCTGTGTATGTATTATTTGGGATTAAACCGTCATCAAATCTCAGTCCTATCATTGGGTGGGGGAAATGGCTGATTCTGGGATAATTGGAAGCAAACTGTTCATATTTCTAGTGTAAACATAATTAGCTATCACAGCATCTGCTTGGGTTAGATGGATCATTAAGTCTTGGAAATAGTGATGGTTAAGCAAGAAATATGATTCTGAGTCACATTTTATATCATGAACCTATAAAATCCTACATTAAAGTGTGAGACTTTGCAACTCACTCGATGGATGTCCCTTGGCTCTGGAGCAGTCCTCATGGCATGGTAATGTGGGTATATCTCAGTCACCAAAACAGTCTTTTTTAACCTTATCTTGATTACAGAAGGTTACGATGGTATAGGAATTGGAGATGGTAGCAAAGATGTTGATGCTACAGCAAGAGTAGGATGTTCTTCCTATTTGTATTATTGTTTATGAAGAGTAGGTTATAACTTGTTATGAATAAATCATTATGAAAGAGTCCCAATTTTCCAGCCACAGCCCCTTTTATGAATAAGAGAAGACCTGAAGTAATCTCTAATTCACTGCAGATCTGCACCACACAAGCTGATTTACAGTGCATTCGGAAAGTATTCAGACCCCCTTCACTTTTTTCAATTTTGTTATGTTGCAGCCTGATATTACAATCGTTCA